GTTGAAAACACCGGTTCCCGTACGATCACTGAAGTTAAGAAAAGTTGAGCCTATTCAGTACTTAAATGGGTGACAGTTTTTTGGGAATACCAGGTTCTGTATGCTTCAATGTACGAGTGGTGTAATAGATAATCATTCGGAATTGTTAATCGGAGGGCCGAGTTCCAATTCCAGTTGGGTTCATTATATTCCCTTTACATGCAAAGGGAAAAAGGCATGAGTCCACCTCTTCTCCTCAGCTATTGGCTAATTATTAAGACTTGTATCACTAGACAATTATTTTCTAAAAAAATATTGTTACAATCTAAAAATATTTTCAGGCTTTAAATAAGCTGCGAAGGGTTGATAAACCGGTAAAAACGAATCAATCAATCAATCTTCTTGAAGTTATTTACCAAATATATATCCATTGTGGTCTTAACAAACTTGATTATCGGAATGCACTGACTGCAAAGGTTTGGGGGTACAAATGGATATACTAAAAAAAAAACCTATGTTCGTTCCTGCCATTAATTCACCTACACACACACGCGTATTTTTATGCTGACATAACGAGTCAGTTATTGTTTCATACGAGAACTGTAAACCCTTGACATAGATTTTGTAAATCAACAAATGCTATTTCTCCAACAATAAATTCGATCTCATATGACTATATAAGCTCGGGAGATAGAGTTGTTCAATATAGCTTTTAAAACTATAAGCAATGACACATTTCAAATTATAGAATAGTGATATTTATAGTTCTAAAACATTATTACTCACTAAACGTTACTTACCTGAATATTAATTAACTTCAGCGAGCCTGTCTATTCGTCTGTTTCTGTTAGTTTTCTTTTGTAGTCAACTTATTTGTATGGCATATCCCCGATAAAGATAAAAAAAAGCTGAACGTGGCTGTTATAAATCAAGTGAGTGTTGTGGCTTCAGACAAGTTGGTGTGATCAGTTGCTAGGAAATGAGTGTGACTATACGACTTCATTAAATATGGAAGTTGTTATCTTCAATTGTTTTAAGACCATCCTTTTTTTTTAACTCTATTTTGCCAAAACTTGCATTCCATTTACTTTCTTCGTCCTTTTTAGCTGTCGTAGTAAATTTTCTTTCTTTCTTTCTTTCTTTCTTTCTTTCTTTCTTTCTTTCTTTCTTTCTTTCGTTCGTTGATGCCTATTTTAATATTTTCTTTCTTTCTTTTTTAGTTTTCTTTCTTTCTTTCATTTTTTACTATTTTTTGTTTACCTTCTCTTTCTTTTTTGCATTTTCATTCCCTTTCGTTCGTTCTTTCTTTCTTTCTTTATTTCGTTACTGTCTATTTTAAAATTTTCTTTCTTTTTAGTTTTCTTTCATTCATTCATTCTTTCTTTCTTTCTTTCTTTCTTTCTTTCTTTCTTTAGTCTTTTTTTATGATTTTCTTTCTTCCCTGACTAGCTATTTTAAAATTTTGTTTGTTTGTTTGTTTGTTTGTTTGTTTGTTTGTTTGTTTGTTTGTTTGTTTGTTTCTTTCTTTCTTTCTTTCTTTCTTTCTTTTTCATTACCGTTCTTTCTTTCTTTTTTCATTACCGTTCTTTCTTTCTTTCTTATTTTCTTTCTTTCTTCCCTTGCTACCTGTTTTAAAGTTTTCTTTCTATCTTTCTTTCTTTCTTTCTTTCTTTCTTTCTTTCTTTCTTTCTTTCTTTCTTTCGTTACTGCCTTTTTTTGATTTTCTTTCTTTTGTTACTGTCTTTTTATATTCATGATTTTCTTTCTTTCTTTCTTTCTTTCTTCGTGTTTGTTTTATTAGTACTTAGAGTGTTTTTTTTCGTAATTCTTTTTTACTTTTGTTATCCCTTTCTTTACTACATTTTAATTTCCTCCTTTCAGATATTTCTTTCTTTCTTTTTCATTACCGTTCTTTCTTTCTTTCTTTCTTTCTTCCCTTGCTACCTGTTTTAAAGTTTTCTTTCTTTCTTTCTTTCTTTCTTTCTTTCTTTCTTTAGTCTTTTTTTATGATTTTCTTTCTTTCTTTCTTTCTTTCTTTCTTTCTTTCTTTCTTTAGTCTTTTTTTATGATTTTCTTTCTTCCCTTACTAGCTATTTTAAAATTTTGTTTGTTTGTTTGTTTGTTTCTTTCTTTCTTTTTCATTACCGTTCTTTCTTTCTTTTTCATTACCGTTCTTTCTTTCTTTCTTATTTTCTTTCTTTCTTCCCTTGCTACCTGTTTTAAAGTTTTCTTTCTTTCTATCTTTCTTTCTATCTTTCTTTCTTTCTTTCTTTCTTTCTTTCTTTCTTTCTTTCTTTCTTTCGTTACTGCCTTTTTTTGATTTTCTTTCTTTTGTTACTGTCTTTTTATATTCATGATTTTCTTTCTTTCTTTCTTTCTTTCTTTTTTTCTTTCTTCGTGTTTGTTTTATTCTGTACTTAGAGTGTTTTTTTTTCATAATTCTTTTTTACTTTTGTTATCCCTTTCTTTACTACATTTTAATTTCCTCCTTTCAGATATTTCTTTCTTTCTTTCTTTCTTTCTTTCTTTCTTTCTTTTCCCCACTCTCCTTTCTTTCTATCTATATATTTATCTAGTTTTTATTTCGCTTTCTTTTCTATTTTCTATCTTTTTATGTTCCTTTGTTTTCTTCTGTCATTCATTCTCGTTACCCTTAAAAAGTCTCCTCAAATAAATAAATTCGCAGCCTAATTTTCAAAGCCTGTATCAAATCACGTGAACTTATTGTACTTTGTGACTGACAAACATTGATATCTTATACACCACCACCCTTACCCTAAAGACAACCACCACTATGACTATCTCCAGTACTAACATCATTACGCAACAGCCTGAACAACGACGACTCACTGGTGTCAGTAAAACTTATCGTAAACAAGTGACAAGTGCGATAAGTTTGAGGAATGTGTTTAACTCATTTGACAAAAACGTTACTTATTGTTTTGATATATCGTAATTAGCCGTTTCCTTATAAGGAAAACTTTTGGCAGTTATTGAGTATTGACCGAAAAGTTAGTGTTACCGTTATAAATTATTTGTCTTAAAACAGTTTTTCAGGAAATTACATTTCTCAAGTCCAGTAATTGTTATAGCTCTTTCAAGTATTGATAGGAATTTTCCCTTCGTCGTTCTGGATATGACGATAAACTAATTCCAGTAGCTAGACTTCTGATCGGGAGGTTTTGAGTAGCGTGGATCCACCTTTAATTGCTGATGTTCCCAGGTCCACCCTGATCCGGGTTGGTAGCACCTGTCATGGTCCCATCTATGGACAAATAGTGAACCCCAAGCTGGGGTCAAAAACTAAGAGTATAGATTTAAAAATAAAAAAAAATACAAAAAATTACTCAAGCTCCTAAGAAAATAAAATTCCGGCATTAAATGATCCATAAGGAGTTGATATGCCGCTAAACAAACACGCTTTCCATTCAAATCTTTTTCTTAAAGACAAACTATATCTGGAAGCAAGGATCGGGCGATTGGTGGTTTTGAGGAGTGTGGAACCACCTCTTAATTGCTGTTGTTCCTAGGACCACACGCTGACCATGGATGGTAGCACCTGTTACGGTCCCAGCTATAGGCAAATAGTGAACCCCAGACAAAAAAACAAAATGCTATGAATGAATATATATATATATATATATATATATATATATATATATATATATATATATATATATAGTTATCCACAGACTGACTGTTTCGCTGTATCACAGCTCATCAATGTGGCTAGACGTCCTCTAGCTAGGATCGGAACCCGACCGAATTGGCGTCAGTCGGGGGGATTCTACCACTAAGCCGTTGGCGCACGGCAGGGATAAAGGTGAATTTAAGCGTATTTATTTTTAGATAAACACACAGAGACTGAGAGAACTTGATTCGATTTACTGAAGAGCCTTGCATTATTAGCCGTAATAGTCACTGTTTACAAACCCACACTTCCTCCCCAGAGAGCTCAACCGAAATAATTTTTCAGGAGCATATATATATATATATGTGTGTGTGTGTGTGTGTGTGTAGGATTAATACAAATATGAAATTTATCACTGTTGTGGCCTTGTTAGGGGCCAGAAATAAAGATACAAGATATGAATACAAACATTTACAGCAAGAATGTTCGGTCCGACTGTCAGAGTTGACTGCTATAAACTTCCCTCTCCCAGAAGGCAGTACCTGCTCCTATTTATAGTTGGGAGAGTCCATGCGTGCATGGGTAAATTACCATAACAATCACCTAGCTGATTGATGTTATATTCAGCACCTCTGCTCCAGAGTTTCGTAGACAAACCTTTGTGTAATTGCTCGGTACACTCGTCAGGAGGTATCAACAATTGTTTGTCGATTTTCTCATTGTTTTTCTAACAAGTTAAAAAAAATAATGCGTTTTTTTTTTTATTGGTGTCAGGTTGATTTTTTTCTTCTTCTTTGTGTGCGTGCGTGTATGTGTTTGCATGTCTATGTATGTGTACGTACATCTGTACGTGTGCGTATATGTACGTGTGTATGATGTGGTTATTTCTTTTTTCATAATTTTCTTGTATTATACTCACGCCTTATTTCTTTTCTTTATTTTGTCAATCTTTTGGCTGGAACAGAGTTATGTCCCTTTTGTTACATGTTGGTTAGAGTTGGAATATTTGTTTTTAATACGAGACCTATTGTACTGCTGGTCAATGAATAGCAATGGTCCCGTTGTTGAACACACTGAATTAAATAATTTGAAGCAACAAGAGTTTCAAGATAAAATATATTAAACCATACTGATGATCTAAAAGTAAGTATCAATCGAAATGTCAGGAACTTTTTTTGTTTATTCACTCTTATTAATTCCCCGCCAAATAAAAAGAATTTATCTCTATCTATAAAAGGCAGGATGTGTGTGTGTGTGTGTGTGTGTGTGTGTGTGTGTGTGTGTGTGTGTGTGTGTGTGTGAATGCACGGCCGCAATTTTCGACGGATTTGCACCAAAATTTACATGCACATGCTCCAAGTTAGCGGGAAGGCCAAGACCGACTTTGCATTTCCCAACTCTCATCGATAGTGGAAATAATCGATTTTTCATGCTTCTACGGCAGTTTTCATGTAGTTTGCGGCCATTTTCTACTGGCCAGAGTGAGAGCCTAT